TCAGGTGTCATAGTAGCCAATTAAGTAAGTCTGTGACTGTAAGGTTTTGTTTTTACTGAATGGACATGTGAATGTATGAACACAGACTGTTGGAGGTCTTTACATACAAATATAGAATAATTTAAAATACCTTGGTTATCAAATTGTATTATTTATATTTAGATAAAGAAAAGTATTTCTCTTAAGAAAGAGCTTCCTCAGAGAACGATTATGAAATTAATTATTGAGTATAACCTTTGAAAGAGCTTAATCCCTGACTAGCGAACTAAGATAGGATTGGTGATTTCTTTTTCCTGTTGTGTCATGCAGCATGCTGAATATTTTAACCTAGAAAGCAAAATGACTTGGGAGCTTTAGACACTCAGCAACAGGAGTGAATTATAGTCACAAGTCTCTGTCAACTATGAATGGTGATCTCTGTTTTTTGAATGGAGTTGAGATCGTGATGTAAGAATAGCTATAGGCCTTCCAGATATTTTTCTGTTCCTTACTACTCATAACATATATTTTTTTACTTTTTCTCCTCCCCCTTCCTTCCCATGCCTTTTTTTTTGTTTGTTTGTTTGTTTGAGACAGTCTCATGTAAACCAGGTTGGTCTCCAAACTCCTGCCTCTAAGTCCTGAATGCTGAAATTACAAGCCTGTGACACCACACCCAAATTAATTTTTTTCTTTCTCTGAAAAAAGAGAAACTTATTCAAGGAAACATTAAATGCCTCAACATAGAGATAGTATAATCCAGAAATCTTTATCTAAAAATTATCTCATCTTTGTATCTTTGCATTCCAAAGTAATCTTAATCCAATTTTGAGATAGAATAAAGGATGAGATATGGAATTACCATTAATGAATTATTAATGAATCGTGGATATATTTTATCTCATTCTTAGTTTACTGCTTAAAATGTCTGTCTGCTTTGAAGTGCCTCATTTTAAAAATAAGCAGGGCACTGAAACAAATAGATTATGTCTATCTTGCTAACTACAGCTGGTGACATTCTGTTGCAGACGTTGTGGGGGCTATGGCATACTTTGGGGGAATAAACTGAATTTAAAACACAAATTCTTCAGTCATTTTTATATATTGTCTTCCTTGCCTGCACTGATATTATGTATACCATCACAGGATAGTGGTAGCACTAATAATAACAATCGACATGTCACTTCCTGCCTCTCCATTAAGAACCCATGAAGATATTTTAAAAGAAAAACAGAAACTTTTAATGGTACTGTAATTTTTTTTTTTAAAAAATGCAAAAATTGGTGACAAACTCCAGGGAAAATTTCATTAGCAAGAGTATATTAAAAAGCAGCCTTGAATGTCGTGTTATTTATTATGCTTTCTGAAACTAGCTGAGGCAAAAATAGCCAAAGGGAGCAGGAAAAGACCTGCACCTGTTAAAAGAGGCTGGCTGAGAGACAGCCATCTCAGCAAGCAACTGGAGTTCTCAGTTTTCCACCAGCCCTTTTAACATCCACATTGCCATAAAGAGACTACATAAAGTAAGGCAAGAAATAGAGAAGGCTTGGGTGAGATGTATAACATCATCAGAGAAATGTGGGAGCCACCAATACCACGGTAATGTGCTCTAGAGCCCACACAGGAAAGAGCAAACGGCACAAGGAGGGTGTTTGTTTTTAAATCAGGCTCTGAGTTTACCCATCTTTATTTGTAGTTCAGGTGGCTGAAAACTCCATCTACCCAGTTTGCTGCCAGGTGCCAGTCATGTTGAATTTCTTTCCATCTTTGTAATAAGCATGAGGTAAAAAAAAAAAAAATGGGGTGTGGGTAGAGGAGGACTATGAAATGAGGAGTCAAGATAAAATGTTGCCTTGAGATTGAGAAGCAGCATCCAGTCATGAAAATGACTTTTGTCTAACAAGCAGATGATTTCAAAACATCTACTTTGTCACCTGAAAGGGAACAGTGGAGATTTGCCCTGTATAGTGTAGAATAAACTGAACCAAGTCAACAAATTCAGGACTTGACTGACATAAGGGAAGATGAAGAAACCTAAAATGGAACATATGAAGAACAAAATTGATTCCATTTTAATAGTTCACTGATCTTGAATAATTCACTCATTGAATGGTTACTAAATACCAAATATCTACCATGTGCCTAGTACAGTAGGTATTGGTGATGTAATACTGAGAAAAACAGATTAAGCAATTATGAAAGGAACACCTGCAAGATATAAGGTTTATAGTGGAAATTATTAGAAAAATTGAAGTAGAAACAATATTCAAGGCTATTAGAAGAAAATCTTCTGAACATGAATACTTTTCAGGTATTAGTTCAGAACACAGACACATGTGTTTCTTCTAGAATATAGGCAGATGATTTCATTTTTTTTTTATTTCTAGGTTATGAAATGACCTGAGATAATCAAGGTGTAAAAACTAAATAAGTTACAAGATACATTATCTAGACTTTCAGTATCCCCCATGGAAAGGCTTTACCCTCCCTGGGGAGCAAAAAGGGTATGGGATAGGGGGTCAGTGGGGGCAGGGGGAGAGAGGAAGGGGAGGGAACTTGGATTGACATGTATAACTAGATTGTTTGTAATATAAATAAAAAGTTAAGTTTTCTACTTTGGAGAAAAAGCCATACTGGATACAGACTTCTTTTCTCAAAACCAGAGACCATTATGGTATTCTTTGCTCTCTGTTTGGAGCCTTCTGTGCTGTCGGTATAATTTATGTTAGGAAACATCAGGCCTTTGTGGGACAGGGGAGATGGACATGTTTGGGGTAGAGGGAGGCCAGATGACAATGTCAGATGTCATTCATCAGATGCCAAACACCTTGTTTATTTTAGAGATGGTCTCTCACTGGCATGGTGATCATCAAGTATGCTAGGCTGGCCTCAGGGATATGCTGTCTCCATCTCCCTAGTACTGAGCTTACAAGCTCATTCTGCCAGGCCTTACTTTTTTTTTTAACATGGGTTATAGGGATCAAAGTCAAGGGTACATGCTTGAATGGCAAAGCACTTTACCAACTAAACTATCTCCCCAGCATTAGTAAGCCTTCTTTTAAACCTTTTTTTCTCTTGAAAAAAATAGCCACTGTATGATTTCTTACAAGACTTTTCATTCGTAATAAGCATATAGATTTCCAGTGTTGTTGATGTAAGTGGCACTTTCCAAGGTTTTGCTACAAGCATTCAGAAAATCTATAAGAATGCAAGGTTCTCTTCGTCTAAATTAATTAAACTTTCCCTCTTCCCTCCTTTCCTGACTCCCTACCTCCCTTCTTTCTTTCTCACATTTTCTTTTTAGCCTCACAGATGTTAAACTAAGCATCCCTTCTACCACTATGCTGAATCTCAAGCCATTCCATAAATTCTGTACCTGCTCACTTGCTGCATGGGTGAGGGTGTTCACATGATAGGAAAATAGGGAAGTGCCTCAGAAAACTATTCAGAGATACATTTGTGATGGAACAAAACTAATGCAAATCAAGTATTTAACTATGTGAAAACCATTGGAGAAAGGGACTTTTAGTAAATGGTGAAGCCACTGAATATGTAAATGAAGTTGACATAATAGCCCATGTACCTATAGTTATGTTATGTTTAACAGCCAAAACCTGTTCTTAGTTTGATTCAGCCAAGTGACAAGTAAAACAGGATCTAGAACTCTAGATTAGTGTAAAAGTTTAAAGTAACTTAAAGTGGTCTGGCATAAGAATAGATAGTAAGTAGCCTAGTAACTCTAGAATGTGTCTATAAGGATGCTGAGATGTAATAGTTACAAATCATCACTAAAGAAGACTGGAAAACTTTTGAAATTATATTAAATTTAAGTTGCTCACTTTCATTTACTAAAGTAAGTTATAATTGGGTAAATATTTAAGAAATGAAGTCATTAAAATATAAAATGCATAAACATGAATAAACATGTTCAAGTAAGGGCCTGGGGCACAAAATGATGAACATTAATTACAAAGGCCAGTTATATCAAATTTGGTATTGTATTATACTATAAAATAATAACCTTAATTAGTTCAGTTTGGCAACAAGTTTTCACCCAAGAATCACTAAAAACAACCAACCAACCAACCCTGGTGGAGTTCATTTTATTTGCCAGGTAATAGAAAACTTCTCTAGTCAGGGTCAGCAAGATGGCCTACTGATGAAAGATACTTGCTGCCAAACTGGAACAACCTGAGTTTGATCCTTGGGATGGACCTCCATGATGGAAATAGAGAACCTGTCCTCATCAATTTTTCTCTTACCTTTACACTTGCACTGTGGCATGCATCCCCAATCCCTAATAAATAACCAAATGTAAGTAAAAAGTTTTTTTAAAAACTTATCTGCTATTATCATTGAATTAAAAATGTTTTTTTAAGTAATGATAGGCTATTTTGGTGCTGATCATGAACTGGATATTATACACTGCTCAAAGGAACTGTGAAAGTGGTGTGTTCAGGCATGAGAGCTTGGCAGTAAGTCTTAGGAGCCTTCAGCATTCATGGTCTTTGAACCATCTATATTACTACAACATATGCTCTGGAAATGAAGATGTCCCTGTTGGACATTGTTCATTGATAGACTGTTTAAATGACCATCTATTACAAATGGAGCTTTAAACAGTTATTTACCAGTAGGTATAAATTTTACTTATATAATACTAGGTGACATACACAGCAATGATTCCAAGTTGATAAAAATTACTGACGAAAGTATATCACACTGTTAATGGTCTGGATGTCTTCTTTGTTTATTTCTTTTATAACCTGTACTTTTGAAGACATTGACAGTTCAGATTTAGCTTTTATGCATATAATGGCAGTGTCTGTTCTTTGCCTCTTGCCACTCCCCTTTCTTCTCCATCCTTGGCAATGTCTCAAGGGTCATAAGAGAGGGTTTTGAAACAAAGAAATGGTGGATGGAGATGGTGATCTGTGTCTTTGCTTTGCTGTCCCAGATACTTGGGATCCCTAGTTGGGATTGGAGAATGATTTTTAACTCTGTTTCTCTTCCCTTTGCAGGAAACACATGAAATTGTGGCAATCAAGAAATTCAAGGACAGTGAAGGTATCTATGCACTTGTACTTCTATGTTTTTTTTTTTTAATAAAATGTGGATGGGTGGGGTTTAGTTGGTTAGACCTGTGGTTTTTAAAATCATAATCTCAGGGATTGAATGTAACTTATTTATTTTCATGCTTTACTTTGAAATACATCATACCTCATGATATTAGAACATCTATTTTAATTTGGAAACAAGGGTGGAATTTCTTGCTCCAAAGGCAAGATAGACATCTCCTTAACTGCATGTTTTCATGTAATATATGTAGATTACAAGGGAAAAGCTGATTAAAAGCAAGTGCATGTGTAGTTCCCACAAGTAGTGAATGCTGTGAAAGATTTGACATTTGGTCACTGTGTTCTCCAGCTCCTAGGCAATAGCAAGAAATACAAGGATAAGTGGGCGGCAGTATAGAGATGGGAATTTTTTATATTTAGAGCTATTTACTGGGAGAATAAAAGTTATTAAATAAGAAATACCATATTCGGAGGTCTTGAACACACTTCTAGACTCTATCAAATGGAGTATTAAAATTCTCTGCTGGGCAAGAAAGTTTCAAATAAAAGATTTTACTAGTGCATGTGTTTGGAAACCTTAGCTGTTAACTTTTACCCAGACAAACAAGGACTGGTAATGAATGTTTATATGGCTTTTATAGAACTTGAAGTAGCATTTTTCGCAATTCTTAGTACAGGAACCCAAGTAAGAATACTTACTAAATCCTAGTCTAGTTTCATTTCTATTCACGTACTATACTATAATGAAGCAAAAGTCTCACAAACTCATATGTTAATGAGGTACTCTGTTTTCTGCTTTCCATTATTTATGTAAAACCTTAAAAACTAGTGCATTGTGACATTGAGTTGCAACCTGCCACATTGAAGAAAAAAAAAAAAGAAACCGGTAAAAAATGTCAGTGTCAGCATTGATCTAATGTGAAGCCTAAGATAGACAACATAGCCTGACTTCCTTGGTACATAGTGACTGAGCACTTTAACACAGCAGTCTCTATATTTACAAAGAGTCTCATCACCCTCACCTCAGATACATAGAAAGTATGACATAACAAAGAGGACTTGCTAATAAAAGCCTCCTAGGATAGCTTCCACAGAATTTGTTGTAACTCAGCTATGATGTGCTACTTATGTGGAGCAAGTGCTTATTACCCAGGACCCTGAGCAGCCGTTGTGAGGGCATTCTTAAAGGAAGGCACTGGGTGCACGTTTTGGCTTCTTCTGGGAGGCTGTGTGCTTGGAATTATGTGCCTTTGTGCTTGTGATCTAATGGACGCAGTTGCCTCTGGTGAACCCACTGTGAGACCATTGGAAATAGGCTCATTGTACAGTGATTTTAGACTAATGATAAGTGACCCAGAGACAAGTGATGATCTAAAATGAGTGATTACATCAGAAGTTCAAAGCACTGCCCTTGTATGTGTATAGAGACATCTGACTATATTTACCTCTAAGGCCACATTGGCAAGCTGAAAATTAATAATTGTCAGCAGATCTTTGAATTTTTTTCTGTCATAGAATCTCATGTAGCCTAAACTTGCTTAAAATCCTGAGAGATTTCATATTGCCCTCTGTGTTTTTACCTTGCTCCCCTAGCAAGAATACTGTCTTAATAGAAAGAAATAATACATGTGTGGTGACCAACTCTTTTGGAGTGCGAGTTATATATGAATAGTTTCTTTGTCAATTGAGCTCCATTGTAAGCTATTATAATTCAAAATATCTTTTACTATCTAAATTTCAACCAGGTCTAATTATAATAAAAATAAGTGTTCTGATAATAATATTCTCATTGTCTAGTAGCCCTTAACAATTCTTTTTATTAGTTACTATGAAAATTCATATTATAGTGATGATTATTCAGAATTAAACATTCCCAAATCTTTGAGAAAATAAATGAAATAATTCTGTAAAACAATGTTAAAATTAAGTTGAAATGGGGCCTGTGTTGACTGCTGTTCACATTAATGTTTCCTCAAAGTCTAACTGATGATATGCAGGGAGTATGTTTGAAAATATATACTATATTCTGGTAGCTTTAAAAGATTATAATACTGTCCTGTTAAGATGATATGGATCCAATAAATTGTCTAAAAGTTTTTGAAATATTTTTAACTTTAATTTAAATAAATTTTTATTTAATTTCAAATTTAAATTAAAATTTATTTAACTTAAGTGAAGTATATTACTGTTTTATTTTAAAATATGTTTTCAAGAGGACCACTTTTTAGTGGAAAGATTTTTATTACCCAAGAATAACTGATTACTGTTTAAAATAAGACCCAAATTTTCATAGTAAATAAAAGGCTGAAATTATGAAAATAAGTTTGATTTATAGTAAACACAATTTCAATCACAATAGCAACTGTGTGCTTTGGAGGACTGGGTATTATCTTTTAAGTAGGAAGTCAGTTTTTACACTAAATTTGCATATTAACTCAAAATACAGCAAGAGGTTTTGTCAGTTTTCTCTTTTAACATGTCTGTCTCTGTGTTTAAGTTTTAAAAAGTGTTTTAGAATTACTTTTATATGTATGAGTGTTTTGTCTACATGCATGTATGTTTGTATACCATGTATATGTCTGATGAACATTTAGGTAAGAACAGGGCATTGGATTCCCTAGAACAGGAGTTATGGGTCATTGTGAACCACCAAATGGGTGCTGGGAATCAAACAGCAACTACTCTAAGCTCTCAGCCATCTCTTCCCCCTCCTCCCCCCCCCCATATGCTTTCAAGTTTTTATTCCCTGACTATGAGCTGATACAATTCATTCTGTCAGATCACTTATCAGTGTCTTTGCCTATGCCTTTCCCTGAAAGACTTTAATACTCTGGATAAAGACAGAAACTTTTGTTAAGAGACAGAAGATAGGCTGGATGTGTGGCTCAGTGGTAGTCTTAGATTCAATTCCCAGCTGCCATTGCCACTCCCAAATAAAAGATATGTTTGAGTGACAACAAATTTTTATCTGAGACAACTTCCTTTGTTAGTTTTTATTTTTTTAAAGGTATCTGTTTCTTGACACATCATAAATCTGGCATTTCAGAGAGAAATGTTAACAATACTCTGAATGATGATATAAATTTGTCTTTTCATGTATGCTTCCATAGAGAAATTAAATGTCAAATACCTACCCATTCAGAGGTCTCTAGTGAATTAATTCTGTTCATTATTTGGATATTCTGAGAACAAAAATGGACCACAAACTCCAAAGATATGGGGGATTCTTTGATGAAAAGATAATTTTCAGGTTGTGTATAATAATTATTTTAGCTAAATTCTCTTTACCCTTCCGTAACTACAGCCTTGAATATTGACATCAGATGCTAATCTATTACGGTCAGATCATCTATTTGGTTGTTTTCTGTATGAGTTAGTATACTTGTGCCATATTTTGGTGTCTGGAGATCATAGGAAAACTTTGTATGTCAGTTCTCTCCTTTCATCTTACTCAGGTCACCAAATCTTAGAGGCCCTGAGCCATCTCACTAGCCTTGGGTCATATATATATATATATATATATATATATAATCTTATTTTACATATCAATCCTAGTTCCCTCTCCCTCCTATACTCCCATGCCCCTCGCTAACCCCCCATTCCTTCCCCCATCTACTCCCTAGGGAGAGTGAGGCTTTCCATGAGGGATCATCAAAATCTGTCAAGTTATTGTGGTAGGGTCTAGCTCCTTCCCCGTGTATGTAAGCTGAAAGAGTATCCCTCCATAGAGAATGTGCTCTTGAAGTCCTTTGGCGCACTAGGGACACATCCTGGTTCCACTGTCAGAAGTCCCTTAGACTGCCCAGACCTTCTTAACTGAGACCCATGTTCATGGGGTCTGGTTTGGTCCTATGTTGGTTCCCCAGCTGTCAGTTGGTGTCCATGAGTTCCCGCTTAATCAGGTCAGCTGTTTCTGTGGGTTTCCCCAGCCTGGTCTTGACCCCTTTGTTCATCACTCCTCCTTCTCTGAAACTGGCTTCCAGGAGTTTGTCTCAGTGCTTAGCTGTTAAGCTCTGCTTCTGTTTTCTTCAGCTACTGGATGAAGGCTCTAGGATGGCATTTAAGGTAGTCATCATTCTCATTATATGTGAAGGACATTTAAGGTAGAGGAGAGCAATAAAAGAGACATATCAATAGAGGGAGCCATTATAGGTTTAAAGAGAAATCTGGCACTAGAGAATTAATTGTACAGAAACCCACAAGGATGAGCCCAACTAGGAATCTAAGCAATAGTGGAGGGTCATCATTCTTATATAAAGACATAAACCAAATTTATTTAATAATCTTGGAATAACAATTTAAATTAGGTTGTTTTGGAGTAGCAATAATTATAAACACTGTCTATTAAACCTTTCAGAGAACATGTAGTCAGAATTTATTTATTATTATTATTTTTTTACTTATACTTTGACCATCCTTTTAATTCTTTGAACCTTTCTTTGATGAATGAAAACTTCTCCTTACTTATCACATGGCCTCAATACATGCCTAACTCCAGTGAGCTGTGCAGCCATCCATGTTTAATTGTGGGGCAGGGTGGTGTGGTACTAGGTAATTTCTCCGCTTTTATATCAAATAAAATTGCTGACATTAAATTTTTGCTTTTTTCTACAGATAAATATTGTCTCTTGAAATGAGTATATTTATTTCTTTAATTATTATGAAATGTTTAGTTAATCATTTAGTCTTCCTTCTAGTTGATTCCATTCTTACTTTTATCTAGAGACTAGAAAACTTTACACTGCTTGCTTCATTTGTATAATACTATAAAACAAGAATTCATGAATCCTAAAATTCAAGAAACTGAATTCTGTGTAAGAGGGGCCTTGAAACAAAATTTCCAATCTTTATTATATAAAGAATGCATTGATGAGCTGTACCCCCTAGTTACTCCTGGTACTATCTTTTTATGCCCAAACCAGATCTCTTTCAAACCTCAGGGATTCCTGTAAGATTTGGCGACATTTCTGTACCTTTTGTGATTTCATA